CTTCGGTAGCTGTGGAGGAAACCTCCCATCTGGCACTGGACATTCTTGGAGCTACCTCCATGAATAGGAAGTTGGTTCCTGCTAAGCCTGCTTCCTGTCGGCCCCTTTCTAAGAAAGCGGAAAAACAGTATCCGGTTCCACGGGAAAGCTTCTCTCATTTCCACACCCATCCTGTACCAAATTCGCTGGTGTGGCTGCAGCCAGGAACAGCTCAGATCTGGGCGAGGTCACTCTACCCCTGTGGATAGAGAGGACAGGAAGATGGACGCACTCGGGAGAAAGGTGTTCTTGTCCCCTTCTCTGGGAATTAGAGTGGCTAACTTCCAGGCCGTGATGGCACTCTACCATATCCACCTGTGGGGGGTGGGGTGGGAAATGGCATGTTTTGTGCAAGACCTGCCAGAGGAAAAAGGAAAACTGTCCAGTGCTCTTCTGACAGAATGGGGCAAAGCCCGCCTGCTTGGCATCATTCGATGCTCCAGACTCTTCAGCCAGAGCGCTGCCATTAGCAGCCTCTTTGAGGAGGCCCATTTGACTCCAGTCGTCTTCCTTGGCTGTGGCCACTGACGTTAAGGTAGAAGTCCTCCCCTTTGAAGGGAATGGTCTTTTCAGTACCAAGACAGACAAGCTCTTGTAAAAACTGAAGGAAACTAGATCTACTACTCGCTCTCTGGGTCTGTAGCCCTCCACCACGAAGCGACCTCCCACTCCATATTTTAGGTACCAGACAGAGTATTTTCCACAGTCCTCGTCTTCTTATTCTTCCTGTAGCCAGAGGCATTAGCAACCTCCATTGTCATTTCAGACTCGGGATAAGAAGAGGTCTGCCAGGTGTAGATGAAACAACCAGCTCCCTCTTCTTCATCTTCAGCTAACCCCAGGCCTCAGATTTGATGTGAGAATCAGGAGACATGGACCCATCAGCAAGGATCAGTCCTTTGCTATTTGGAGACGGGCTAGCCCAATTTATCCACAAGTGGAGGTCGATTACCTTGGATGTTTGGATAGTAGAAATGATAGAAAAGGGCTATGCTATTCAGTTTGAAAAACTGTCCCCTTCCAATTCCCTCTACCCTTCTCTTTTCAGGGACCCTTCTCACAAGGTGATTTTATTTGTGGAAGTTAACAAGTTGCTCCAAGTAGGAGCGCTCTAGGAGATAGCCTAACATTTTTATTCAAGATATTTTCTGATGCAGAAAAAAAAAGGGGGGCGTATGTCCAATTTTAGGTTTAACAAATTTGAACAGGTACATTCAAAAATCCCAGTTTGGGACCCCTCGCCTGTATATATTCCTCATGTACAGGTGTGGATTGCTTCACCACTCTCCATTTAAAGGATGCATACTTTCATATTGCTGTCCGGCATAGTCATAGGAACACTGTATGTCACGATGGCAGGGGGCTATTTCCAATACAAGGTGTTCCTGGTCAGCCTGCTAACAGCACCAGAGTGCCTTTCCGTGGTAGCCGGGTATTTCTGTTTCTCATATTTGGATGATTAGCTGCTGAAAGCAGCTTACACATGAGGTTTTGTTATTCCACTTCTCAGATCGGGGTCAAGAAGTCAAATCTCTGCCCAACTCAGAGAATTCCCTTGCTAGGTTCCATACTGGACTCAGTACAGGGAGGGTTTTTCTTCCGACGGACAGGTTAAAACTAGAAGAAGTGATTTCAAAATGCAGCCCACCCAGGATTGGATGTCTTGCGTTTACACACCCAGTCAGGACAGCCCTCATATGTACATCACCGTCACTCAGGATGTTCTGGGTTCCCTGAGATGGTGGAAGAACAGGTCAAGTGTTCTCAGGCGTGTTCTGTTCAATCCGCCTTTGCCATCGGTGATAACGCAAGACACTTCCTACGCTGGACAGAAACTCATTTTGTTCAGTGTACGATCTAGGGTCACTGGGCTTTGCAAGAAAACACACAACAATGTGCTGGAATTAAGGGCCACTTGTTTAGGTCTCAGAGCGTTCCTCTGTCAGGCACAAGGGAAGGTGGTAATGGACAATTCACCTGCTACTCATCACGGGCACAAACAAGGCAGAGCTCGCTCACTCCAGTTGTGTGCTGAAGTGGGCAGGTATATGGGATTGGTGCATTCTTCATGGGATCTACCCGGTGGATCCTGCATTTAGCAGGGGAAACCCATGTGCTGGCAGATCATTTCAGCAGGGACAATTCTCAAATTCATGAGTGGTCACTGAAGGATCAGGTAGTTCAAGACAGATATTCCCAGTGGGGAGGGGAGGGGGGGGGGGCAGGGTCAACTCCGTGTAGACCTGTTTGTAACGGAAATCAACAAAAAGTGTCCTCTCTTCTGTTCGAGAGCTGGGTTGGACCGTCAATGTAGATGCTCCTTCTACAGTGAGGAAAAGACCTGCGGTATGCTTGTCCCCCCCCTTCCATTGATTCAGAAAGTGGTAAAGAAGATTTGTCAGGACAAGGCTAAAATTATATTGATTGTTTCAACTTGGCCGAGACAGCCGTGGTACGCAGACCTGCTTCAGCCGTCCCATGGACGGTACACGCATGTTCCTCTGTGTGGCTCGAAAGCTTGTCTCTTTCACCCACAGCAGTTGGTCCCGTAAAAGATATCACCTCCCCAACCTTGTCTCTCCAGATATTTTGTCACAGCAACAAGGCAGGATTCTGCATCCAGATCTGCAGTTGCTTTATCAGATATCTTGGGTCATCTGACTTCGGCAGTCTTGCCCGGTCATGGCCTTCCTGTGTTCAGAATGTTCCGCTTAATTCTAAAAATCTGTTCACTAGTTAAAATGGCCCACGTTAGTTGCTTGGATGAGGAAAAATCTAACTCTCCAATGGCAGCTTCCATAGCCTGTATTTTGGAATATTTAATATACTTAAAGTCTGCAGGATTGTCTAATTCTCCTGTAAAAGTTCATCCGGCTGCTATTTCGGCTTACCTTGTTTTGGTTGACGGCATAGCCCTGTTTGTACATGCTACTGTTAAAAGGTTTATGGAGGGGTTATTTAACATGTATCCTCTAAGAGATCCGGTTTCATGTTTATCTAGATTTATGTGATCACCCTTTGAATCCATGGTGGCTTGTTCTTTATCTTATTTATGCATTAACTAAAGCAGTGTTCCTTAGTGCGATTAGGTCAGCTGGAAGTTAGGGGATAGTGTGTGGCAATGGCTGACCCGCCATTTACGAAGGTTCACAGAGATAAGGTGGCTCTTGGACCCGATCCCAAGTTTTTACCAGTAAAATAGCGTCTGAGTTCCATAGCAATCAGACAATGAAATTACAGGCTTTCTTTCCGAAAGGTCATGTAATAAAGAGGAGTCTTTAGATGCTAGGCAGCTCTTGCTTGCTACTTAGATACAGCTACAAGTTTTGGGATGTCATCTAGACGTTTTTTCTTATGCTTAAAATTAGCAGGGTCATAATGTGCCTACGCAGACTATTTCTAGGTGGGTTAAACGAAGCGTAGGGCAGCGTTACACGTTAGCGCTGCCGGTTGTGTGGTCTCATTTGACGAGAGCGATATAAGCAACATCTTGTGCTTCACTGAAACTTGCTATTAGGAAAATTTGCAAGGCTGCTACACGGACCTGAGGGCACACAGGGACTCGCCGTCACAAGCTGGATCTTGCTTCTGGAATGGATGCCAAAATGTGAGAGAGCAGGGTTACAATCCTACCTGGATTTGGACTCCACTCCCACCTGTGAGGTTATTCAGCACGGCACGGGCAAACTACCCACACGTGGGAATACACAGAGCCGCTTGAAGAAGCAGCGAAAATTATGTGCTTGCAACCCGAGTCCTATGAGATGACTTGGCATATTCACACTTCCCCCCCCCCTTCCCCGCTCTCTCCACGTCCTATCACACGGTCATCTGGTTGGCAGTGAAAGGCACTGGGGGGGGGGGGGGGGGGTTTGAGGGTGCAGGCTGGATTCCTGAATTCATTCTTGTTTAAGTTCGCAAGGGATCGGAACGGTCATCTCCTCTGACCTCCCGCCTGGCCCAGGCCAGAGAATCTCAGCCTGTGTTCAAAGCCAGCGACTTCCCATCACCTCCCCTGGGAAATTGTTCCCACTCTTAATTACCCTGCAAATGTTCACCTTATTTCTAAGCTGAATTTGTCTAGCTTCAGGCTCCAGCCCTTGGATCTCGTTCAGCCTTTGTGCTCTGCTATCAGACATCTCCCTGCCTAGGTACTAATAGATCACCTATTAACCTTCTCCTCCATGAGCGAAAGAGATTAAACTCCTTTGGTTTCTCTCTGTAGGACAGGTTTTCCAGACCTTTTCCGGCTCTTCTCTGAACGCTTTCCAATTTATCAACTGTCCCTTTTGAAAGGCAGATACTAGACCAGGACACCGTAGCCAGTAATGGCTGGACTAATGTCCTATACAGAGGTAACACCACCCCCCTACTCCGGGATTCCCCTGCTTTTGCATTAGTGCTCTTAGCCACAGCACTGCATTGGGAATTCATGCTCGGTTGGCTTCTTTAGAGCGTCACGGCTTTCCAGGATACAGCCTCCCATCTTAACAGTTTCCCCTGATCTAACCCGCTGGACCCCACTTTTTTCCCAGAGCTGGGAACAGAACTCAAGTGTCCCGACTCCCACTTTCACTCACTGTAACCAGTTAATCTTACCTAGCGCTTTCTCCAAAAGGCTTAGCAATCATTAACCACTGAATCCATTCATGTTGATTCCTGGCAAGAAATTAACACACCTGCAGGAGTGCCTGGTTCATGTGTCAGAGCTTTGTAAACATGGGAGTGAGTTCCCATGAACCTCAAACACCGCCAGTTTCCATGGAAGAAGCAATAAACCTCCAGCTTGATTTTACAGAGGGGTGACCATGAAGTCCTCGGCCTTGAGAGAATGGGCTAAAAGGGGAATGGGCGCGGCTGGCCCTGTCTCCTCCTGCCATGTCCCATATTGCACCCAATACAGCCCAGCTTGGATCGACAGCTTCAATGTTCAGCAAAAAAAAACCGAGGAGTACTTGTGGCACCTTAGAGACTAACAAATTTATTTGGGCATAAACTTTTGTGGGCTAAAACCCACTTCATCAGATATATGCAGTGGAAAATACAGTAGGAAGATCTATAGACACAGAGAACATGAAACAATGGGTGTTGCCATGCCCACTATAACATTGCTCTTGTTACAACTGGCCCAGTGGCTACTCTGGCCCCCTGTGGGGAGATCTAGGCCCACCCCCGTGCCCAGGAGATGGCAGCTGGGGTACAGGTTGCAGCCAGCAGGAGGGAGGCGCCAACCACCTGGAGGGGGGCGAAGGGAAGAAGAAACGGAGCTGGCTGGATGTACAGCTGGGCTGGGACCAGGAGCCTGTGGGGAATGCCCAGCAGTGCTGGGGGCACTGCAGAGTAGCCTGGGTGAGGCCAGGCAGGGGCTCAGGTGGGCACAGGACTAGGTGGCCAGGGCTAGGAAGGCGCCCAATGCTGCACTGATCAACACGGACCTGTCCCCCGTGAAGGGTCTGTGTGGACAGGAGATTGCGGGGAGGATCCCACACTCCCATCCAGTGCCCTTCATCAGCTCTCACAGCACTTTACTAGGGAGGGCAGAGACATTATCCCCATTTTAGAGGGGAAACTGAGGCAGAGGGCCCTACTGGTCCCCCATACATGAGGAGGGGTTTGAGAGGAATGTGGCTCTAATGGAGACCTGCGTGGAGGGGGGTTGACTGTGTATATGGGGGGAATTGGGCTGGGCGGGGAGGCTGACCTGTGCACAGAATGAGGGCACCACCCAGTGGTCAGGGCTTTTATTGCACCTTCCCCCCCCCCCCCCATTCGTTCCTGGCTGTCTCCGGCTCCTGGTGGCAGAACTGCAGCTGGCCTCCGGGTCTCCCTAGGCTCCTGCCAGCTGGGTCCAGAGAGCCTAGGAGAGAAGGCAGGTGTGTTAGTGGCCGGGGGGGAAGAGCCCTGCAGACCCCAGGCTTTGCCCTGGTGGAGGGGGGCTGGATGCAACAGCGTTATGGGGGTGCCCGGGAGGAGCCCCAGAGGCAGCAACTTTGCTCTGCTGTGGGGAGTGGGAAGGATCGGATCCCTGGTAAGCAGCGCGGGCAGGGGTGCCCTAAGTGTTACTGAACAGATTCCATTCCCCCGAGCCAGCCAGTCCCCTGCCTGGGGGTCCGAGCCAGTGCCCCCTAGAGGGGAAAGGGCCCATGCCCCATTTCCCCACCCTCCTGAGTCGGCCAGTCCCCAGTCCTGGATGTGTTGGAATAAAGACACCTGAACCGCTCCGACTGCGGCTACCCCGTCGGTAACTCTTCATTCCGGTTCATCTGCCTCCGGTTCTTACGCACCCGAACACGGGGGGTCCAGGCACGCCTTCGTGGGAGGGCACCGCGCGCGACCGCGGCAGCATCCCCTGCCCCACCCCAGTCCGGAGCAGCATGCATTTCAAGGTCACAAAGTTTTAGCTATCCATTGCCTTGGTTTAACATACCAGACAAAGTTGCTCGCCGCTGTGAACCAGCGACCAATGCTGCTCTCGTATTCCTACTGCCCCGTCTGCTTCCTGGGAGTTCAGCACCCATGCAGCAGGGTCTGCGGCAACGTCCTCTCCGCTGCGTTCCACCCCAGAGGTGGCTGCATTTCAGCAGCAGGGTGAGTGACCCCCGCCCCCACCCCTTGCGAGGCAGGCTGGCACCATGCAGGTTTGGCGCGAGGAATCGGTTTCCCTGGAACGCAGTGCCTCGTCATCATGGGAACTCCTTGCCGAGGGCACCCTGCAGAGACGTCAGCGAGCCTGCTGCAGAAAAGGGGAGACATGCTGAATAAAAGGGGTACAAATAGGGCGAGGCCCCGTGCCCCAATTCCCCACCCCCTGAGCTAGCCGGTCCTTGCAGGGGAAGTGTAGGAAGTGAAGATACAGGACCAACACAGGAAGCAGCTGTCCCGTCACTCGTTACTTTCAGTGCTTTGCCTCCGGTTCTTACGTGCCCACACGGTGCAGAGTATGAGCACGCCTTTGTGGGAGGCTCCTGCATGGGTTCCTGCCCCATCCCCCTGGGGCATGGAGACCGAGATGGGACCCAGGCGTCCGGGAGGGCAGTGCAGGCCGCTCGCCCCTAGGGGATCAGAGACCAGGATAGGGAAGGGGATCCAAGGAGGACAGGGAAGGGGACCCCAGCGCCGCGGGGGGGTGGAACTGAATGAGAAACCCCTCAGTCTCACTCCTTGAGAACTACAGCTCCCAGCATGCCACGGGAAAGCTGGGGATTAACCCTTTGGTCACCCTCACCTCGGTGAGAGACAGGCGGCCCGCAATTCCCAGCCACCGGAAGTCAGAACGTTCAAGGACACTGGGTGAAAACGGAACCCAGGAGTCCTGGCGCACCCCTGCCTGTACCCTGACTCCCCTCCCAGAGCCAGGGAGAGAACCCAGGAGTCCTGGCTCCCAGCCTGTTCTCACCACTAGACCCCACTGCCTTGGGGTATAGACCCGTGTGGAGCTGGCGATGGCGGGTGTCTCCGGCCGGCCCCTCGGCTGGATGAGCTGGAGATCGCTGGGTCCCGGCTCCGGGGCGGGATCTTGGGGGAACCGGATGGGGTGTGTGTGAGAAAAGTGATTAGTTTCTCTATGGTTAATTACAGAGAGGAGCTGCGGGGGGGATCGGGGGGGGGCGGAGAAGCCCAGGGCTGGGCTAGCAGGGGGCTGTGGGTCGGGAGTGAGGGGCACCGGCAGAGCTGGGGGGGTAATGTATACCAGAGGCACCCCCAGCCCGCGGGGACCCCCAGCCCGCGGGGACCCCCGTCACTGCCCTTTGGCTCCCAGTGAGCACATGGGACAGTGCGGGCGGGTTGAGGTGAGAGGGGCTTATCCCAGAGCACACCCCATGGGGCATCCCTGTCCCGGTGTGTCTCTCTCTTTCACACACACACAACCAGGAGCACTTACCCAGATGGCCTCACTCACACACACCCCCCCCCGTCTGTAAACATCTGCACACAGCCCCAGCCCAGAGGCAACACCCTGATCCGCGCACACAACCCCACTGCTCGCACACATCCCCTCACCCTCCTGCACAACCCACCGCCAACTACAGCCCCAGCGACCCAGGGGTCCCGACCCACAGCACACGACCACAGACACAGCGCCCACAAATACAGACGTGTGTACACAACACCTCACAGCCGTAACCTGCAGCCATTCATATATACAACCAGCGACATGCTCACGTATGGATGCGCAATACACAATCAGACATACCACACATAACGACAGCCACACAACACACCTGCATAGGCACAAACCCATCCTTAAGCCCAAGGACACGCACACTTCTCCGCCCCTGCCAACACAACCCACTCACCCCTAACCACAGCCCCACGCGGATCTGACAGCCCCACACACAATCCTACGCCTCGCACCTCTACGCACCACCGCAACCCTGAACCCCCGGCACTGCAGGGATTTCTCCCCCCTGGTTGCGCTAAAACGCACAATTGTGGGGAGTCAACACACCCCTTCATCCGAATGGCCGAACCAGGCCCACCCGCAACACACGTCGCTGAGGAGACCTTACCTAGTCTGCCAGCAAAGTGCGACCCAGCTGCCTGTGTGTGGGGGTGTGTGTGTGTGTACTTGTGCGTTCACCACCCCCACCCAGCACTGTCTTTGTACGCAGCGCAATCTGACACAAACCTGCACCCCTGTTCACACCACACCCAGCCAGCCACGTGCGTGCAAGACCGGAGGCTGGGGACAGGGCCTTATCTCCGCCCCTCGTGCACTGCACAACAACACAACACAACACACACACACACCCACCCACTTATCCGCACTGGGACCCTCTGCCTGGAGCCCTGACTCGGGGCGGGGGCGCTCACCTGGAACCAGGACGAGTCCCGGCGCCGGCCAGGGCGGGGGGTCTCCTCGTTGCGCGCCTGTGCAGCGCCTAGCACAATCCGAATCTAGCTCCCGCTCCCGTCCCCGTCCCCCGGCTCCCCGCTGCCAGGCCCGCCCCCGCCCGAGCCGGGGCCCCCTGCCCGGGGCCAGGATGCCGGCGGATCCTCCCGGCCCCCCGCCGGGGAGCCCCACGAGCCGGCTCCATGGCGGTCCGCGCCGCCCAGCATGCCGGGAGGGCGCATGCGCCAACAGCAGGCAGGACCTTCTCCTCCCATTGGCTGGCTGCCCCGGCCTCCTGATTGGCCGGCAGGAGGGGGCAGGCTGTGATTGGGGGACCTGCGGCTGGAGGGGCTCCGCCCCCCATGCCCCGGGCTCTGGCAGGAGCTGGGCTGGTCGGTGCGTGGGAAGTGGGGAAATGCAAAGGGACGTGACACCCCCTAGAGAGAGCAGCCCGCTGGGGACCAGGGCAGGGGGAGAGGGGCGGACGGATGGATATTAGACTGGGGGGGGTGGATGGAGGGGAAGGTGGGGATGTGTGGGGCAGGGATGGGTGGGAAGGGGTGTGGGGGGGATGGATGCGTGGGAAGGTGGGGATGTGTGGGGCAGGGATGGGTGGGAAGGGGTGTGGGGGGATGGATGCGTGGGAAGGTGGGGATGTGTGGGGCAGGGATGGGTGGGAAGGGGTGTGGGGGGGGATGGATGCGTGGGAAGGTGGGGATGTGTGGGGCAGGGATGGGTGGGAAGGTGGGGTGATGGGAAGGGGTGTGGGGGGAACAGATGGGTGGGAAGGTGGGGGTGATGGGAAGGTGTGGGAGGAATGGATGCGTGGGAAGGTGGGGATGTGTGGGGCAGGGATGGGTGGGAAAGGGGGCGATGGGAAGAGGTGTGGGGGGACGGATGGGTGGGAAGGGGTGTGTGTGGAGGGATGGATGGGTGGGAAGGTGGGGTGATGGGAAGGGGTGTGGGGGGAACAGATGGGTGGGAAGGTGGGGGTGATGGGAAGGTGTGGGAGGATGGATGGGTGGGAAGGTGGGGATGTGTGGGGCAGGGATGGGTGGGAAGGGGGGTGTGGGAGCGATGGATGGATGGGAAGGGGGGGCGATGGGAAGGGGTGTGAGGGGGATGGATGGGGGAAGTTGGGGATGTGTGGGGCGGGGATGGATGGGAAGGGGGTGTGTGGGGGCGATGGATGGAGGGGAAGGGAGGGCGATAGGAAGGAGTGTGGGAGGAGTGGATGGAAAGGGGGGGCAATATGTGGGGATGGAGAGGGATGGAAGATAGCTGGATAGAAAAGGTTTGTTGTATGTATTTTAGATGGAATATAGGGGGCCCAGAAATGCCCCCGTAACTGAACTGCCGATCCGGTGCCGGACAAGCTTCGGCGGTTGGTAGCGGAGACTTTCGCCGTCTCGGCGCGATGGCAAACACCCGGCATTTTTGTTAACTTCTTGTCGACGCTCCAGAGAAGAAGGGAAAACGGTTCAAGCCTTGGCAATGTGCAGCACCAAATGAGGCTGTCCTGTTACCCACCGGGTTTTGTTCCCCGGAACTCGCCGGGGGAGGTTGGAGCAGGAAAGCCCCCCTGTTCTGCAGTGTCGGGGTTCGGGGGAGGGCGTGACTGCCCTTGGGGAACACAGAAGAAGGTGACCAGGGCTGGGGCTGTTCCTGCTGCTGCTGGGAAAGGCCGGGCCCGTTTTCTAGCGGACGAACCAAGCCAGACGCACGCACGAGGAGAGAGAGAACAACAGCCCTCCGAAACGCAACTTCTGTCTCTGTCTCGGAATTGGAAAAGGTTCAGAAAAGGGCAACACAACTGATTAGGGGTGTGATTAGGGGCTGCCGTATGAGGAGAGATTAATAAGACTGGGACTTTTCAGCTTGGAAAAGAGACGACTAAGGGGGGATATGAGTGAGGTCTATGAAATCATGACTGGTGTGGAGTAAGTAAATCAGGAAGTGTTATTTACTTCTCATCACACGAGAACTAGGGGTCACCCAATGAAATGAATAGGCAGCAGGTTTAAAACCAACAGAAGGCAGTATTTCTTCATACAATGCACAGTCAACCCGTGGAACTCCTTGCCAGAGGATGTTGTGAAGGCCAAAACTATAACAAGGTTCAAAAAAGAACTAGATGGAGGATACGTTCATCAATGGCTATTAGCCAGGCTGGGCAGGGATGGTGTCCCTAGCCTCTGTTTGCCAGGCGCTGGGAATGGGTGACAGGGGGTGGGTCACTTGATGATTCCCTGTTATGTTCATTCCCTCTGGGGCACCTGGCATTGGCCACTGTCGGAGACCGAACGCTGAGCTGGAAGGACCTTTGGTCTGACCCAGCATGGCCGTTCTTATGTTCTCTTATGTTTTGACTCTCGCTTGCGACCCGGCGGCTGGAGAAACGCGGGCCTAGGACATGGTCTGAGCAGCCGTGCCGAGACCTGGCAAACTCGTCCCATGTTGGGCTGCTTAGAGCATTGCTTCCGTTGCTTCTCTGCATGCCGGCTCTCAGCAGGGTGCAGGCGTGGCCGGCTGCTCCAGACGCACCTTCGACAGGAGGCAAAAGGGGGGAGAGACGAGTGGAAAGAGAAGAGGGGTGGAAAAGGACACGGTTGGGGGAGACGATGCCACCGCTTAGGGGCGTGATCTCAGCACGGCCCTTGGGTGAGAGCCGAGGCCTCTTCGTTCGGGCTCATTTGGCATTTCCGTTTCCCTTTTGTATTCGTGGTGACAGGTTCCTGGGACCCTTACCCCCCTCTCTACCTCTGAGCTCGCAATTCGGGGACGTGTGTTGGGCCAGTTATTAGCCCGGGTGGGGGGAGAATGGATAGAGAGAGGCCGAGGGGGTGGATGGAGAGGGGGTGTAGGGGGCTGGGCAGGGGGGGAGGGATGGGGTGTGTGAGGAGCTGGATAGATGGGCAGAAGGAGGGGTGGGGGGCTGGATGCAGGGAGGGAAGGAGGGGTGGGGGGCTGGCTGGCTGGGCAGAAGGAGGGTTGGGGGGCTGGATGCAACGAGGGAAGGAGGGGTGGGGGGCTGGCTGGCTGGACAGGCAGAGGGAGGGGTGTGGGGGGGACTGGCTGGGCAGAAGGAGGAGTGGGGGGCTGACTGGGCAGAAGGAGGGGTGTGGGGGGCTGGCTGGACACGCAGAGGTGGGGATCTAGACTTTGTACTCAGAGCCCCCCCATTTCTGATCCTCTGCTGCCATCTAGTGGCCGTTCGCTCTCACCCACCCACCGCCCCGCTCCCCTCGGTCCCTCTCTGAACCCCGGGCGCGCCCTGGAAACTCCTGGGTGCTGCCGTGTCCCTCCACGTAACAGATCCCCGAGGACCCGCTCCCAACCCGGGAGCCCCTTCGTGCTCACTCCCCCCACCCTCTGCTGACTGGCTTGGGAGTCTGGCGTAGAGCAGCCCCCTTTCCAGCTCCCGCCAGACCCCCACTCACCCCTGAACCGTGGGGCACGTAGCTAGCAAGCCACAGCGCCTTGCGGTTCCCGGGCACTGTGCTCTTCCATCTCCACATCTCCCGCAGCCTGCAGAGACGAGCTCCCCGGTAGCTCCTGAGCACTGGAGGCTGGGGCGTGGACTGGCGGCTCGCTGGGACTTTTTATCCTGCGTTTGTACAGCGCCGGACACAGCAGGGGTCCTGCCCTGTGACGGGGGCCTGGGGCTCCAGTGCGTCTCACACACTGTGCTCTCACTCCCCCAGGTGACCTGACTTCAGTTCTTTCTTCCCCTTCCCCCAGGGCACAAGGGGTTGCTTTGGCAAATTTTGGGGGCAGGTGGGGGAGAGATTTTGCAGCCACACTTAGATCTGTATTTTGGGGGGTGAGGGTCACTGGGGTACATTTAGTTTATTAACAGGGATGGGGGCATGAGCTGAATTCAGCCCCCCACCCCACACACAGAGGCCAGGCCGGTTGAGATTGGAGAGATTTTTGATAGGAGGCAAAAATAATTAGTGAGTGTGAATGCTAATGATTAATAATGCTCATAATACCTAACATCTAGCATTCGTGCAGTGTTTTTCACCGGTAGGCCTTAATACTAATTTATTAAGAAAATAATTCACACTTATTACTAAGATGCCCTCTAAATAGAGCATCCTAAACTAGTATCTTTCAACGTAAACCCAATGGTATAATAATTCCTAGTTGTCCTATAATGGTTCCCCTCAGAAGCTCTTAATATAATAAAATTAATAACATCAAATGTAGAAAATAGGGTAACGTCATCAGGGGAATGCTATAATACGAATGCATTCCCTACCTCTCACAGCCTGGTTTCCATCAGCGGGGCTCCATCCATGAATGGCAGCACACTAATGAACCCTTAGTAATAAGACGTACTCTCGAGACGTTAAAAATGGTGGAGTGCAGTGTAAATACCATAATGCCTAGTTCTCACGTCGTACGTCTCAGCTGTGGATTTCGGTTAATCGCACGTCGTCAGTCGATCTCAGTAAATGAATTAGTAGTAATTAAATACATGGTAGTAAGAGGTACGGGGAATACCATCTAGCAGTGGTATCTTACATTAGTGTATTGTATCATTCAGCAACGCATTACTAATGTAAGTCCACGAAATAAGATCGAGTATGTAATAAAATGTCCAATAACACACAGGAGAATAATAAACCACAGCGTTTTAATAACCGGCTGAATTCAACTGCATGAGCATGCTAAGCCCTTCCCCTAGCTCCGCCCAATTCAACTTGGGACTGACCAATAAGAAACAGCCCAGGCCTCGCCTGTCATTGTCCTGCCCTCACGGATTGGCCATTGGCACGTAATAACTGGTGTGTGGCCTGTGGAACTCATTGCCGCATGAGGCCGTGGACTCAAAAAAGGAGTGTCAAAAGGAAGGGGGCATATGGCTCGCGCTGGAAGGGTGTGAATGTGCTGGGAAGGGGTGAACGCCACGATACAGAGAGGGCTGGTGGGGGTGGGCAGGGGATAGATGAAGGGGGCAGTTGGGGAAGGATAGATTCCATGATTGTAGAACTGGCCAGCTGCATCAGGGGCGCTCTCGACCTTAGCATAAAACTATCAGTGCTGGCTACCCTCTGTGGCGGGATACGGGCTGGATGGACCCAGGGGTCTGATCCCAGCGGGGGGGGGGGGATCCCGGACCGGGTTGGATGGACCAGGGGTCTGATCACAGCAGGTGGGGGAGGGGGGATACCGGGCTGGATGGACCCAGGGGTCTGATCA